TCTTTCCAAGCATCATGTTTAATATACTTTTACAACCCTACATTTTTTTGAACAAGATTGACCAATTCGTTTCACATGGAACCATGAAAGTAAAGGTTTATTTTGAAAAAAAGAAAAGGATTCTGTTAATGTCCAAGAAATTATTCTACTTCAATTCAAATTTGCTATTCTTTGATATTCTTGCAAAATCTTGTGACTCTTTCAGCCACTCTTATCGTTAAACTTAGAATAGTATAATAATAAAAGAGGCAATAATTCTTTATATGAAACATTTAGATTATATTGGCATGTGTATAACCCCACAAGAGCCCAAACATTCTGCCAACTTTCTAGGTTGGGAAAGTCTAAGCAAATGGTACCTTGGAATAGACTCTATAACCTAAGATTATCTATTGACTCACTCTTCGTGATATATAGAAATTACAAAAGGAAACCGTCTCAATAATACTATTTGGCATGTATTATATTTAGTTAGTTAACAGAATGTGAAGATTCTCTGTTTTCGTATACAACCCATTTGTGCTGCAACACAAGGATTTTGTCTTCTTTTAGAAGAGCATGCAACTTATTACATTACGTAAATTATACTACCTTCGAGTTTATATTAAGAGTTTTGATGTGTAAAGAAATGTCTTTCTCAAAAATAGATAAGTGGGTTAAGAGTTGCGTCGTTTTAAACAAGACGTAAGATCAGGTCTAGAAAATTGTATTTACATTTGAAGTTTATCCAATAGATTTTTCAAGTCTTAATAAACCTGCAAAGTATGTTGAAATACAGGAGTTGCATAAATGTTGACCACTGTTTCTTTGCAAAGGGTTTATATGGTAGAGACAAAGTACCAGTTTAAAAGTTTGACAAACATTAGAAAATTATTCAAAATTCATCAGAAAGTTGTTACTTTGAGGATAAAGGGATTTCAATGATGGAATAATCCACGGACCAATGCTACCATTGAAAATTTAAAAACATTTTACAAAGTGCCTCAAACAGAATGTTTTTAATCAACTTACAGAACAAGAACAAAAACAAAAACATACTGAGTCTTTTTTTAAAAGAAGGATTTTGTTGCATATCTGAATAGGAGAATACCATCAGAAATTGAGAACCTGAACGAAAATACATTAAAATTGCTTATTGTGTTGAATTAATAGAATGCTATACTCTCTTTTACAAATCAAAAGCAAATCTTTGAGTTGGGCTTACAAATACAAATACCAAGTAAATTCATTAATATTCAGTATTTTGTAAAGAAATAACCATACATGTAAAAACAAATGTGATGATAATGGTGTTACTGCATGTAAGAATCTAGTAGTATGAAAAATCAAACTTTACTTGATTGAAGCAAACAATACCAACTTGACATTTCATACCACAGTCTTTGAAAAATAAGATTAGTCATGTTAAAAGTAAGTTGCAATTTTTTTTAAATGTATGAAAATGGAAAAAAGAGAAAAATGTAAAAATAAATCATACATGATCCATTGAAATTGTCTCGTGTGAAATCCATATTACCTATAGGCAGATTTTCAAACTCTATAGATTCAAAGTCCTATGCATTTTTTTTAATGTAGAATCTGCTTATAGGTAATATGCATCCAAAGAAATGTCTCAACTTTTAAAGGAGAGTTATAGAGCAACATCAAATAAGACAAATCATATAGTTCAACTTTCAAAACTATAGAAACTGATATTTTTCTAAAAAATGGAACAAGCCTTTGATGGACAAAGCAATTCTAGGTCAATGGGTAAGAATGAAAGTAGCAAGGTACTTTTTAGTGGACTCATCTTCCACAAGAATGTTGAGAATCATGTAAGGTAGGATTTTGTTACATTACAACATATGTAGGACTCCCAAGCTTGCCGCAAAAAGGTATTTAGACTTACAATTTTTTTTTTTTTTTTTTTTTTTTTTTTTGTGTGTGTGTGTGTGTGTATATATATATATATATATATATATATTTATTATGTGGGGAGGGGGGTTAGAAAGAAAGGTATTAAATAGGATGGAGACAGTCTGAATTCTATATGTTTTTGTGAAATTTGCTTTAAAATCATCATATTAGTGGAGCAAATCTTACAATTCTTTTATAGTATTTTTGTAAATGTGTAAAATCTCTCAAAAATATTTCTATGGCCACATCATACAAAATTAAAATTTCAAAAAGGTTTAGAGAAAACTGACTTGAAGAAAACAAAAAAATAATGTACAAAAAAGACATTTCTATTTGTTTATATTTATTCAGTTAATATAGGTAATTTATAATAATTCAAAGAAAAATTAAAGTTAATTTATTAGATGATTGAAAATTTATTTTTATTAATAAAAATGGGCAAAATATAATTTTAAAATAATAAAAAATATTTTTGTGATTTTTTTATTTAATTTAACTGTCTTAAATTTTATTCAGTTTTCTTAGTTGAATACCTTTACTATGTTCAAGAACATCAAATCCTAATTAACATTATTGGAAAGTTATGGTACATAACTACTTTTTTGTAGAAAATTCATTTTTAAGGTGCTTTTCACTTTTGAGAAACTCAACCACACCTTTGATAATCATAAATAAATAAAAATATTACGGTTTTTTTATTTTAAATTTGTACTTTTTTTCAGAACAACATTTTTTTGGTATAATACTTGTTATATATTACACTCATTTGGGTGTAGAAATTCCAAGCAGATATTTTATCCCTTTCAAAAGAAGGAGCAACATTTTAGTATTATGACTAATCATCGTAGTATTTTGATGCAAACATAATGCACAAAATTTCTTTGAAGTGGTCAGAGTCAAGTGTACTTTCATATTTGATTGTTTGAAATACCTCTTCTTTGCCAACCTACCTTTTAAAACAACATGATCCTTAAATTTTTCACCTCAAATGAACTCTATATCTCCTTTGACAAACTTTTTTTGAAGTTAGAAAGGTTATTCATTTTAAATAAAAAAAAGTTCTGTAATTTTTTCTAATTTCTTTTAAACCGTGGAAGCATTTTACATATTCTTTCAACAGGAAAAATAAGGCAATCTATACACACACATATAATCCAAATTTTACTTAATAAATAGTTGTCCCAAACTCACTTCTTCTTCTTTTTTAAGAAATTTGACTTCAATGATTATTATTTAAATCAGTCATTTTTAGGCAAAGATATTTTTTGAAATTAATCATCACTCAAATCTTTTGGATTTTAAAAACACCTGGTGCTAGAATATAATTCATTTACCATTAATTTACCTCATTTTAGATAAACCATTACTTCAAGAACTATGAGCAGTTTGTTCAACAAGGAACATAAAATGAGACAATCTCCACTTTCTCCACCAAGACAATCAAAAGAAACAAATAGCAGTTGCCAAGATTGTACAGGTCTCATTGAAATGAAACCAAATTTTTTAAGTTTTGCAAAGTTCTACTCGCAAACAAACCCATACAATTTTGTTTTACGTTCTTTATTCTGCTCTCATTTCAAAACTGCACTATCATGTCATGAAATTTGTTGCCTCATTTTTTTTCCCTCTGACTCATGCTAGTATTCATTTATTTGGCGGTTCTTTGTTGGTTTCATTAAATGACTAAACCCAGACTTCAATCAAACTGCAGATATTCAATAGGTGCCTATTCTCTCCAGGCAATTCTCCAAATAGTCAAGTCTTTCAGTCATCACCTAAATACAAATATATAGTATATGTTTGTGTAGTAATGTATATAAGTCTCAGTCTCTCTCTCTCTCTCTCTCTCTCTCTATATATATATATATATATATATATAGACATATATACACACACACGCACACACACACACACACACACATATATATATATATATATATATATATATGTGTGTGTGCGTGTGTGTATATTTGAATATATGTTTGTGTGTGATGTTTTCAGTGTGCAGATAGCATTGTGGAGTGGTTTTCTTCTGCCACATGCAGGGTCTGTCTGAGCCTTGCTTCCTCTCTCTCTCCAAGCAGTGTAGAAGAACAACGCACACAATAGAATTGTAGTGGGCATGAACTGCAGGCCCCATAAATTGGAAACAGATCCAATGGCCCCACATGGATTTTATGAGCATTGCAGGAAGTGGACTATTCTGGCCTTCTTTTTCAAGGCTTGTGGTTATGGCTGCAACCAGGCTCATCACATGGGCATCAAACAATTTTTTGCAGATATTGTGCCCTGCATAGTGTCACTCCTCCTCAGAGCTTTGCTTTGTGGGTAACTAGGAACTGGAAATCACCATTTTGCCTTTGCCGCTGGTTTACTGACCTTTCCTTGCATCCAGAGTGCGCGACGAGAGTGCTGTCATTATATGGTATCTATTTGGTACAAAGGAACGTGCCCCGGAATCAACCATATGCGTCAGCGGGCTGCAGCATTTGCTTGAAAAAGATGGCGGTTTCTAGAAAGCTTGACTTTCCGTTTGTGCAGATGGACTTGTCCTAGTCGAGTATGAGTGATGTTTCTGTAGCTTGGCAGCTTTCTCGATATATTCCTCTCGAGGGATTCTTCCTTTGCTTCCGACTCAGGAGGTTTTAGATCGAAAGGTGAGTGAGTGAAGTGTTGGAGGCGATGGAGTCGAGTTTTGTTGATAATTGTCCAGTGGTTTTGACGTTCGACAAAAAGGATTTGGGAAATTCTGTCACAATATGAACCCTCGTAGAAGTGTACAGCTTAGTTGCATGGATTGCTTCTGAAAGCTGATTACTAAAGAAGTGTTTCACTGTACGTCTCAATGACCGGTGAAAGATGGCGTCTGTTCATACTTTTCTGATAGGATTATCCACATTGCTCCACCGTGAAATCGTTCATTTTTTTAATTTTTTTTAATTTTTAACTTCTTTGATAGAGTTATCCACTCTCACAAACCCCATGGCAAGCAATCTCTGCAAACAATTTCTCTATGAACGTTACACTCGACCTCCAGTTGGCCCTTTATGGAATCGCACCAACCTCAGAGAGAAAAACCAAAAAATAACACAAAAGAAGAAAAAGAAACAAAGAGGAAGAGGTTGCAATGATAATTGATTGTGAGCGAATTGACTTTCCAACAGATTGATGCACACATGCGACTTAGGAGTGACAAATAATGATGTCGAGCTCAATCCTCGACCAGGGGAATTTTGCCAGTTTTAGTTTCCTCTAGCCAAAAATTCCAAACAGCTTGACAGATCGCTTTTGCCTCCTGCCTTCCAGTCTCTATGCGCAAAACGCTTAAACCCTCAACGTCAGAATCTCCCTCACCTTCCTCCTCCTCCTCCTCCTTATTTGCTTCGCTGGCAGATTCATCGTTTTCCTCACCCTCACTCTCCTCGTCCGAACTTTGAAAATCATCTGCTTGTTGCCCTCCTAGATAATGCCTTTGCAATGTCGTTTGAACAACTTCCGCCACTTGCTCTCTGATCTTTACAACAGCTTCGTCACTGAGCCGAAGAGGAGTTAGGTCGATCACTACTGTATCTTCCCCTGTTTGTCCCTGTTTCCGAAAGTCCCCAGGTTGTAATCACAAAAGTGAGGAATTTACTGGGTGCTTTGGGTAGACTTGCGATACTTATTTTAGTAGCTGCTTGCATGAGGGTGACTGACATAGATTGTGAACCTGCCATGGTATCAGGGGTATTCACAGCCCTCAAGTAGAACCCCGGGAAGAGTATTTGGAATGGTTTTCCTGACCCTCCCCTAGAAATTGTATTTTTTTCTGATTTTATCAATAAAGTCGGGTGATGCCATCAAGTTTGAATGTACATTCGCACATATTTAAGTCAGATCTGCGATACTTCATTTGATTAATCAGATCTCAATCGAACAGCAAGGTAGTATTCGTGATAATCAGTCACAGATTCATACCTGCTCAATGAAGATGCATATCCGACAGGATGCATCACAAAAATTTCGGTACGTGTTCACCAATGGATATTTCCGGGAGATGGCACGCTGAACCAAATAGCCCTTCTTCTTAGCTAGGTCATATGCCTAAACATAACCACCGCAGAACCAGCCAACCAACCATCCAACCAACTAGTAAGCTTTTGATAAAAAAAATTGCAATTCTATAGAATGCTCACAACCTCAAAGTAAGCATCGAGTAAATAGCCGTGGTCCTGGCACCATGCACAAAGCTTGCCAGAAATAGGACTCCTTCGTCGAGTAACACGAGGAAAATGAAAATGTGACAAGCAAATGAGGACGACAATGAGAGTAGAGTTCCAACGTTTGTAACCAGAAGAGGGAAAGACCAGGTGAGTCCTCTTCTTCAATGATTATTTGTGCACGAATGCTGGAAGTTTTTCCAAAACCATATATCCATTTCTATTCTAACTTGATTCGAACACACAACATTGTCTAGCACGGATTCAGTAAAACAGGCATACCGTTCGCTCTCCAGCTTGAAGCCGATGTGGAACTTTTCGACTACCTGTCTTCGCCTTACTAGCCTTGCCCTTGGAGATCCTCTCGACATCATCCAGCGTCCACCTGCCTTCACGTAATAATGCCAAAAAGCCGAAAATGCTCAACATACGATTGCTCAAATGGCATACCCTAATCGAAATGAATACTCTAAACAAACTGTGTACTTCGTCCCTGACGACAGAGGAGAAAGCAATTGGTTACCTCTGCGAACTAGTTGCTCTCACCATCACAGGCCGCCACGCCATTCGAGACTCTGATCCAAAACCGCTTCTACATGAGGAGCTCAAAACCTCACATTCTGCAGCTTGCGTCAAGAATGAGCCCCTAAACGCGAGATCACGAAAAGCTTCGCGCTGCATACAACTGGAGAAGGGAAGGAGAGTTCGGCGGAGATGAGAGAGCTTGGCCACGGAAGCTGTGTGCAATGCCATGGGTGAAGAAATGGGGTACTCTCAAAACAAATGACCCAATTGCCACAACCAAGCAGACACTAAACAGCGAACAAACACCCTGCAACGAAATGTGTGTCCCGACACAACAGTATCCTTTTCGAACACGAACCCAGCTCAATATCTCTCTCAAATAGCTGCTTGAATCTACAATTGGGGGTTCTACTTCGTATTGCGCATTTCAATCCCGCCTATCTCCGCAAACCAATACTGCACTGTGACCACTGAGCTCTTAGAATTCCTCACTAGATGCGGAAAATCTAACACGGCACAATGAGGGTAGTACAGATACAGATACAAGGGACCCAAAGGAATCGGAAACCAGATAGGAAATGCCCGCCACATGGTTTCCTCCAATGGCGAAGAAGCTGCCTTCTCCCAAATCTGTCTTTATGGGCAGGATTGCCTCCAGCTCGACAAGCATTCGGTGACGTCGGAGGAACGACATGCGAGCTAGCGAGCGAGCGACAGTGTGTGTGAGTGCGTTTGTATGGATTTGGATTTCGTTTGCCGCTGCCCCGAGCTTCAGATTCCATTATGGTTCGATCATTCGCCGTCTGGCACCATCGCTACGACGGAGACAAAACCCAACAATCTCGTTGCAAAAAAAAAACTTCACTTCGGGAAGATCTCGTGGGCGACATCAACCCTAAAACAGGGAACTTTAAAATCTGAGGGGAGTTTTAATCTATCGATTCATTGAGATCCCATTTGCAATTCAATTATAGGTTGCGGTTTTTTTGGGGGTTTTGGATATTCCGACGTGGAGATTTTTTCTTTTCTTTTTCGTGACTCAAAATCTCGTGACGTGTTTCCGATTCTCAGATGCATTTGGTTTCTTTGTTTGTTTGTTTGTTGTATTTTATTTTATTTTATTTTTTCTTCTCGGACGATCAAATTTTTGTCCACGTTTATGTATGTATATGTGCAATCAATCTTGACTTTTACAAACAGTAAGTAATAGGTTTAAAATGGGTATAAATGTATGGTTTGTATGGATGTGTGTTTGAAAAGTTTTAAAATATGTTTTCTTTCTTTCTTGCTTTTCATGATTGAACGCATTTTATTCTTTAAGTAATGGAATGACTTTATATATACATATACATATACATTTAGATTTTCTTTTGTGTATATTTTAAAATGTATATTGTACACCTTCTTTTGGAAAATATGTGTACAATATTAAGTGTGTAAAGGTGACCTAAAAGTAATATCAAAGACTGATGTCATATTTAGTGACAAGATCCATGTAGGTGTAAAATTGGAGGTATTTAAAACACACCTGATATGTATACAAAGAATCACAAAACAATATCATAATTAAGACAAATCAACAAGTAAGGTTTTTTATTTTTTTTTCTTTGTTTTTTTCTCTTTTTGTGATACATATAGCACCATTTGTATCAATATTAATAATGTATAATGCATGTTCCCGTTGATTGCATTTAATATCACAGGCAGATAACGTAAAACTTGTTAAATAGTTATGTGAACCGTCTGATATTTTTCATATTAAAATAACTTTATTAAAATCCCAAACTGTTAGTTTTTTACCTTTTATGATTTATTCTTCTTTATTTAAACTTTTTACTTTTTAAAAAATAAGATAATATAATGTAAACATATTTATGTTAATTAATTCTTTTAACATCATCAAACAAACAAATTACCCTCTCTTCTAACAACCATTTATTAATTAAACGTCTTAATTATAAATAAATATAAATACTTAATAATTCACTGTAAAACAATAAAAGAATATAATGTATTTGACCAGAAATGAATTATATTTACACATATAGAATGTTTATTTTTACTAATATTTTCATCCTTGCAACCATATTTATAAAAATCAGACTTGTGTCAATAATTTCACTATTGTAAATTTAGATAATAAACTTATGTAAAGATGAAATGGCTCTAAATACATAGAAGAAAAACATATTCATAGCAATGACACACTCAAATACTTTTACATCAACAATTCAATTATATGTAACATAATCTTATATTTACTATAACATAATCTTATATATATATATATATATATATATATATATACAAACAAACATATTATTATTATTATTATTATTATTATTTTATTTTTGTGTTGGAATTATTTTTTATTTTACTTGTTCATCTTGTAAATTGTATATATATATATATATATATATATATATGTATATATATATGCCGTTGCCTACAACAATTATAATAAAATTTGTACTAAACTACATATAAAAGGTATGGGTAAGTGTATACATATGTTCTTTTTGTTTGTATTACATTTTTTTTGATAGAAAAGTGTTTTCTGGGATCTATTATTGATTACCCTCGGTTATTATGGCATAGATTTTCTTTAGAACATATTATGAAACCAAAGAAACAGGATAAACATTGAAGGGCAAATTTACAACTTTGAAATAATAGCACTACAAATTCTTTAAATTGAATAGAATCTATTATTTAAATTCAAAATTTAAACTTCCTCTTTATTAACAGTTTTAAACAAAAAACAGTGGATTAGCTGGAAAATAAATGTTAAAATAAAACTCTAGCATATAAATAAATAGAATATTTAAAAAAACTAACTTTAGTTTTTGATATATACATTTTAACAATGTAAAATTACTTAAGCAATGGTTATATGACTATACATGTGTGTACATATGCGTATATATGTCTATCAATTTATCTATATCTATATATATATATATATATATATATATATATGTATTTGTTTTAATATCTAATATAAATTTTTATCAAATAGCTATAAATAACCAAAAAACTCAAAAGATTCATAAAAATGTGTTAGATAATATTTATAACAATGAAATGTGTTTGGAAGAACAATATTATTTTTAAAAAATTTAAGAATTTATTAAATTTACAAAATTTCTTGAAGTAATATATATTATTTCTAAGCTTCATTGTAAATTAGCGTTCTATAAAAATGAGAATTCTATTAATATTAATGAAATATTTCGATTTATAAAAAATATAAAATTTAAAAATAAATTATTTACGTTTTTCTTGAATGTCTTTATGTTGTAATAGATATTTTCTCATAGAAACCATGGCTTACAAAATCTTTGTTATTAAAAATAATTTAAAAAAAAATCAAAACCAACGTTTTATTTATTATATTTTATTAAAATGAGTTGGTTGCCAGATCTTATTCAGAATCTTGCATTTTTATCTTGCCATTTGATCTAACAAGATCTTACAATATATTTTACTTAAAGATGTGTTCTAAACCCTAAATCCTAAACCTATACTTGGTGGTAGATGTTCTAGTATCTTTATACTTTTTAAATATACATCTTATTGGTTTTTTTTTATCCTTTCTTAGTTGTAAGTGAGTATATAGTCTATTTAACAGTTTGTGTATATCATGTTCTTAATTATTGGGCTGGAATAAGAATTGCAATATTGTAAATTAATATTTCTTAATGAAGATTAGACCAACTCTTTTACTTGAAAGAATCATGTAGTTTAGATGTTGCAAATCATTATTTTCAAATTTGATGTTGTTTTTATTTTGCTATCTTATTTTATTATTATATATATATATATATATATATATATGGAATTATCTGTTATGTTATTTATATATATTTTAAAATAATACTAAAGAACATCATAATACAAAAAATTACAAAAAAAAGTAATCTCTTTACTAATATACCATCTTAAACAGTCAATTTTATTTAAGATTATCACAAATTTACAATTTTATCTAAATGGACTGTTTTTTTAGAGAATTTTAATAGAAACATGTCTATTAATTGTAGAATTGTTAATAAAGTATAATTTTTTATTAAATATCAACCACAAAATCATCTAATTTTTTTTGAATATGAAGTTGATTTTTTTAACATCTTAAGTAGAGAAGATCAATTGGAAAACTAAAATTTTAGATATGTTTTTGAAAAAAATAAAAAATTTATAAAAAAATTATAATTATAAAAACAACATGATTTTCCAATATATATCAAGTTTTAATATATTATATCATTTTGTATCATGATGCGCATATATCAAATTTCAATCACTTTGAAATATAAAAAAAAATGTGATTTTTGCAATGTAGAAAAAATTATTAAACTCAAATCTTGTGACAAAGAAAATTATTACATATTTATATCTTTAGATGTGCTTTAAACTAATGATTGATGTGAATTAAGTTAATATTGTATTAATTAGTGATTTTTTTACAAATCACTTCAAGATGTTATTTATTTATTGAATTGTTCCGATCCTTGCCTATCAAACCAAAACATCAACATTGTTATCAAGTGCAACAATCAACTCTTTGGGTTTATATATAAAAAATTATACATTATACTTTAACAATTCTATGATTGTTTAAAAAATAATTATAACCTTTAAAAATATATACAATTAGAGGTAGAAGACATAAAAATTGATTATGTAAAATTCAACCTTTTTTGAGCTCGAGAAAAGATTCAACATTGACAATAGAGTTTGTGCTTGTATCATATAGAGCCATAGCATGTTATCAAATATTATCATAGGAAGTGGTGCAAGTACAATGCAATGTCAGGGATAAGAACTCGATGAAAGCTAAAGAGTAAGTGAGACTTTTCTCAAAAAGAAATAGGACAAAATAGAAATATGTATATTAAGAAAGAAACTGGAATGGCTATTGCCAAAATACAAGAAAACTAGAGACCCTTGAAACTAGACTAGAAGCAAGAAAGGAGTTGACAAGAGTGAAGAGGGCTTCACTCTTGCCTCTATATATACTATCTAACTAGAAGCCACGTGGCGATGTTCTATAAGACCTCCAATATATGTTGACTTTCTAGGCCACATGCCTTTGCTTGCAAGGCAAGTTTTCTATGGATGGACCACGTAGTTAGCTTGTTCTTTAAGCTTCCAACATGCGTGGCACATGGCTAACTTGTTGACCAAGTTTCTAACCTAAAAGTCAACTATAGACTCCTATAAAGTCAAAGCAACATCTATGAAGCTTCTAAGAAGCTTCTCTAGAAGATATTACACAATTAACCTACTTTTACATACTTTTATCTATTCATATAGGTAATTATATGTATGTCCGTGACATTACCCCCCCTTCTAGGGACGAGTTCCACGAGGAGCGGTGATTATATATTGAGAAAATCTAATATGCGGCGAATTATATTTGCTACATACTCTGATCTTTGTTCTCTTCGAAGATAGTTGATGGGTCCTCTTAGCCATCGATAGTGTCCCATTCCAGGGCGAGAAGACCACCCTGTTATTTGATCACTGTTGAGGCCTTCATAACTTCCTTCAAATAATACATTTGAAACACCATCAGGAGTCGTTCCTATCTCCAATAATATCACCAAACATCGAGAATCTCTTCCAAGGTCGTGATACCAAACGCGTTGTATCTCACCATCTATTCGAGGAAGAACATGTCGTTCTTGAGGGTCTTCATTTCGGTTGCGTCGTCTTGAAGGTTGTGACAATCGCAATGTCTCATCCGGTAAGTCAGCAAACGAAGGTTCTTGAGTTGAATCCGCTGGTTGTTGGCTCTCCATCTAATTAGC